CTCTCTCACACACACTGTATTCTCTGTGTACTTCAGCAGCAAAACAGACGGAGGTGCATTGACTATTAGTTGCAAAACAAATCAAACTTTGATGCTGACAAGTTCAGCTTTCCTTTCAGTCTCTCTTTGTATGTTCACGGAGAGACGCAGATGAAGGCTTAATGAGCAAAAATATGATTGTCCATTCAGTAAGTAGTTATTGTGAAACAGAAATCCGCCGCGCTTTGTTGCAGACAATGCGGTCGTCTGTGAACACATTCTGGAGTGACTAATGGTCTCTAATGGATGACAGGCAGCAGCCTTCACAGACAAAAGCAAAGATACATTCCTCTCCTCTCTCGGTCGATAGCCAACCTTTAACTGGGCAGAGAAGGACAAATCGAAGGTTACATTTCAGTTTTTTAAATATTAAAATCCTATAAAAATGATATTGCATGTTATTCGTGTTTCAAAGGGAAATTGTATAAAACTGAGGGGATCTATTAGTAATGGGGTATTCAGTTTGGTTCTAACTGAAAACAAAATGCTACTTTTCGCCAAATTGTTCACACTATAAACACACAATAAAGTTTATTGATTGATAATCATTTGAAGTGAGACAAATTTGCTATGAATCAGAAATCTAACACTCAACAGACAAAACCATTACTTTGAGCCTTTTTTAAGGTTTATTTCATCAAAGAAAATGTTTAAATGTTTTCATATTTCAACTGTATTCTAGCATCCTTACCAGTTATATCAGGATTTCATGGTTATATAAAACACCTTTCATGTTTTTTTAAATCCACCCTTCCAGGGGGATCAGCGTGATCCTGCATGTTGGCATCGAAACTATCCTGATCTCTGCCTGTAACTTAACGCTTAAAGCTTGATCGGATTTCTAAATGCAAAAACGAATTGAAATGATCAGGATCTCAGATTCAATAGGAACCTATATTAGTACTATGCTCAATGCCGTATCATGCAGGCAATGATCTACAGTACAGGAAGTTGTCATATTATTAATCATCTATAACGTTTTTACAGCCCAGTCACATTTAATTTGGCTCTCTCATCATTGGATATAAATAAAATATCATCACTAAGGTTTCATTTCCTTGCATAAGAAGACCAACAAGTCTTAGAACTATCAATCTATCCACTTCAGATTTGTCTCACAAATTACTTTGGCTGTTGAAGGAAGCGAAGCAAGAAAGCAGAGCTGCATCACGACAGCCAACAAGCCAGCAACAGTGAATGTATTTTCTGACATTTGCCTTCTCACATTTCTTTGCCCTAAGCAAATAAGACAACAGTAGAAAAGCAGCATTATTTAAAGTGTACACATTCATAGGTTAGAGTCGACAGAATGAGGTCTGTGGAGGAAAGAGAGAAACTGACAGAAAGAAATACAGAGGCAAGGAGAATGTATTCTTTGTCTAGAATCCATCCAAATAATCTGTTCTTTGTCTTAAGATAAGATAAGATGGGGTTTATACATGTGTGTGTGTAAAGAACTATCTTTTCAGCACAGCTCTCACCATGAACTGAACTCGCAGTGCGTTAAAATAGATCCAATTTCGGTGGTCTTGCATTGATGGCGGTTCGTCCTCACACACTCGCACGGAAACAGGAATGTGCTGTCACCAGTGCCGAGCGTAAAGATATGTCATGTGCTCATATCGTGGTGTCACGCCTGCTCAGCTCAGTACACGTCCTGCAGAGATAACCAGTGTTGCGAGGGACGGGAAAAGGACGGAACAAATGCAATACTAAATGAGAGAGAGAGCAGCTGTCGTTTAGCCAAACTGATTACAACTCTACTGCCATTTACTGTAGGTGTTTAGCGTGGAAGCGGCAAAGCAAAGCTATCCATCCCTCTGCAGACCAAATGACATGAGATAGCGTGCACGCTGACATTTCTCAGCATTTTTTCATCTCTGTGATCATTGCAGCAATGCATACACATTCAGGGGCGCCGCCAGGGATTTTGGGCTCCATGAAAATATATCACATCGGGCCCCACCACCAGGCACAGGCCACTTTGTTTATAAATTACCTCGAGGGCCGTACCAAATGGTCTAGCGGTCCGTATACGGCCCGGGGGCCGGAGGTTCCCCACCCCTGGTTTAATATAATAACATTAGTATTAATATCATAACCAAAATGTCGGTGATTAACATTTTGTTTACAGACTGATCACTCAATGCTTCAAACTGTCCATCATCCTAAATAGACTAAAAGCAGTTTTTTGTATAGATCATTGGCTATGTGGGAAAATACTGTGTTTGAAATGTATAATTTAAATTAGATGTTAGCTTTTTGTTATATATATATATATATATTTTGTATTCCAGTCTCCCTTCAGATATGTTAAGTGGCATGTCATTCAACACAATGCTGCTCACCTCCTTCAGTTGGGAGAAAAGCTGGTTCAGGTTCAGCCTTATGGGGGGACAGGGCTGCTGAGCCTGAAGATGGATCTGTTGGGACAGATCCAGGGACAACTGATCTACACTGAACAAAAATATAAACGCAACACTTTTGTTTTTGCTCCCATTTTTCATGAGATGAACTCAAAGATCTAAAACATTTTCTATATACACAAAATAACCATTTCTCTCAAATATTGTTCACAAATCTGAAAGAATCTGTGATAGTGAGCACTTCTCCTTTGCCGAGATAATCCATCCCACCTCACAGGTGTGGCATATCAAGATGCTGATTAGATGGCATGATTATTGCACAGGTGTGCCTTAGGCTGGCCACAATAAAAGGTACAACACACTTACGTAGGCTAAGTACTAGCATCCCTCCTCACATGCTTTCACTCTCTGCAAGTGCAGGTACCGAACCGCGTTTGGAGGCAGGACCAAACCATTACATGTAAATAGAAGGGGGTGTACAGAGGCTTTGGGTAATTAACTTTTGGAAGAAAATAAGTTAAATGAATCGTAAGTTTAGTGAGAAATGTATCAATATAACATTCTATTAATATTAATTATTGAGGATTGATGAAAGGTTACTTACACGGGCCCTTAGAATCGTCCTAACTGTTCACCCCCTTACGGCGCCCCTGTACACATTACATTACATGTTACTTGTTAGACGCTTTTATCCAAAGCGACTTACATACTCAATGCTGTGGCCAATCTCCACAGGAGTAATTTGGGGTGAAGTGTCTTGCCCAGGGACACAACGACATGCTGACTGCAGTTCAGCGCACTAAGTTCAGCGCACTCTCCCACTGAGCCACAGCCTCCCACTAGACACAGACGATAGAAACTGAATGCAGCTCAGGTGCCAAACCCCTCCATTCAGTCACCTCCAGGGCAGGACATTTACCAGTGACTGACAAATTACAGCCGTAAGTGGGTGAAAACGCGGAGATTGTGGCAGTCTGCGTTGATTTAATCAATCAAAACTATGAGTCAGACCTGTAGCGATGCAATTAATTGTTACAAGTTACTAAGAAACTATTTTAAAGTTAATTAACTATTACTGTGATTGACATTCTTGGTGAAAAACAAAACACTTTCTTATATTCCTGTTATTCTTATAAATAAATGTAATTGATCTAATAAAAAACTAACAATAGGTATATAAAATAAAGGTTTGCGTCGTAGTGTGAGACAAAGTTGCATGATGTGTGCAGGTAGGGGAAGGAATATGGAGGATGTTAAAAACACCTTTTTCAGGTCTTCAGATACATTTAATATGATTATTCACCGTTCAGCCAGCCAGGATCTTTTGAAAGTACTCTACAAAAAGACTAATGTCCTTTAGTCTTTGTAGACAAGTTACAAACCCAGGGTGCTTTAGTTTGTATATCATTTACCTCCAATTACCTTACGATTAGAATCGCATGTGGCCTCACAAATAAGAAAACATGGACACTTTTTCACAAATAATCATGCCTCTTCTCTGCTGCAGCCACACAAACACACACAAACACACACACACACGGTTCACTGCACTTGAACGAAGTGTGCTCAAAGTCACTGTGCTGGAGAGATACTCATATTAAATAAGGTTTGTAAAAAGGTGGTGCACTTGCAAACGAAAGGCCTGCATAAATCTCTCGAGCACCAAGGCCAGAGAAACAAAATGAATGCACTTTTTATCACCCTCTAGAAACAAAATGAAAACAATTATTTTGTGCCGTGTCGTTTTGTAAACGAATGCAGGCATGAATCCCGTCATTTTCAAGGTGCCACCCCATTCTGGAACATTGCTATCACAGATATGAAGTAGAAAGTCTTCTTTGAATACCATGGAGTATGTTTCAACAAGCCAGCCAATTTCAGCAAATCCATTTCAACCCTCACATCTTGCCAAATTCTCATTAGGCCATCTTTTCAGCCAGTTATTGCAGTATTGATTTCCATTCCCGTTATGTCTTTTGAAAGATTACATTTTCATATAAGTAAAATGTCTACGATGGTTTCCACCAGACAAGGCCATCAGTCTTGTTTTCTGTAAAAGTGCACCGATGCGTTCATTTTCTGATTCAACAGAAAGTTCTGTTATTTATATTTCGATACCATTTTAGACTTTTTATGCATTTAAATATATTCATGCATATATTGCTTACACTACACTGCCTGGCTTGACTAGCTCAAACCTTTTTTAATTGTACAATTAGCAAAACCTATACAATATCACAGAGATTAGTATTCAAAATGAATAAGCAACACTGCTTATACATGTGTGTAAATATTGCAAATACCTAAATTGTCAAATGCATGTTGATAGGGTTGTAAGTGTTTAATGTGTTTGTGGTAAAGATCAAACTGTGTTTTTTTCTAGATGTGTGCTTTGCTGTAACCATCTCAGATTGGTTGATGTGTCTGTTGGCCGCCTGCTCTTTCTTCCTTTCTTTCTTTGATTTTCTCTGTCCTTTTGACTGTTTCTGTGCATTGTGTTCCCCAAGAGACACCAAACGCACTTGATACACATCAACCTCCACACGGTTTCTGGTTTATAAGGTTTACTGACTGTCTGTCTGTCTCTCTGTGCAGCTTTAAGGGACAACAGGATTGAGCTGATGCATGCGTCGTGGTCGGAGCTGACCATCAGCATCAGTGATGTCACGCTGACGGATGAAGGCATGTACACCTGCTCCCTCTTCACCATGCCTGTGAGAACAGCCAAAGCCTACCTGACTGTTCTCGGTGAGTAACTTTTAAACATTTAATACAATTCCTGCTTGAAGGAAATGTTCATTTGTAAATAATTGGACACAATTACTTTCAAATATAGGTGGGCTTTAGAATGGATAAGTGGGAAGTGTAGAGGAAACTTCTGTGTAGCATGCAGTGGAGTCACCGACTCAGGAAGGAGACACGGGAAGAGTCGGAGCTTTGATGTCAAACCACTGTGATTTATTTGGAGTTGGTACCAGAGTATTCACATCACAAATCCAAGAGTCAGAGGTTCTGACTCCACGGTAGAGTTGCCACGTCAATTCTGGAGAGCCTCTCTCTTGCCAGCCCATCTAACTGGTTTCGCAGAGAGTAAACAACATATTTGAGGAGATAGCCTAAACAGTGTGGGAACACAGAGCTACTTGCCTCGGACACTTATGACCTCGAAGATTTTACCTTGGAGTCCACAAATACAGAGAAGGAAGTGTCCCAGTGTACCCACAACACAGACCATCTGTATCCCAGTATTGACCGGTCACAGAATGGGAACAATAACATTATTGGCTAAGCCGCCTGTGTCCTTAAAGAAGGCAAACAGACATCGAGGTTTGTCCTGTATGTTACTAATTGGCGTCTTATGATAATTATTTCCACAACAGGAAGAACATAAGTCATAGATAAGCTTCTGTTCTTCCAATTCAATTAAAATAGCTTTATTAGCGTGAATATATTTACATACAGTTTTGCCAAAGCTCTGTACAATTGCAAAATCCATACACAATAACACATTTGAAACAAATTCTGAACATAAGCAAGAACAACATGTTTTTTTTCAGGGTTAGTTTTATTTATTTTATTATTCCAATTACTGGAGGTTACCAACATAGCTAATAGTGTTTTTTGGTTGATTTTTCATTACTAACAATAAGTGGGTTAATTTGTTGCGCTAAGTATTTCAGAAAAAATGAACCGTTGCTACAAATAGCCTGTTGCTTATGCCAGCATCTGCTGACAAATAAAAACATAATATTGGACTCTTTGGTAATGCTTTTGTTGTGATCATCACCCCCACACAAACATAGCATTGTCTAATTTCCTGCCACTGGGATTATTATCTTGCCAATTAGTTCCCGCTAATGTTAATAGATGTCCTAGTGCACTCCAGGACCATTAGCAGCCTCTCTATGTTAACAAGCATTTAGAGAATTAGAGACATTAAAGGCTACTGCTCAATAAGGTTACAGAGAAAATTATTTGTTTGCAATACTGAACAATAGTTAATGGCTGGGAGATTTATTTAACATACAAAAATAAGTCTGTTTCCGGACGGTGAGTGCTAGGAACGATAATAGGAATACATTGGAATTTATTTGGGGACAAAATACCTAACTATTGGGAAATAAATCACAAAAAATGATTTGATTAAATAGATCTTAAAGAGATATCAATGATATCATCTTGCATCACAAATGGAGCTCTCATTTCATTGTCATGTCTTGAAAATGCTTGAGCAGCAGACCAACAAATATAACACAGCACATACAAATCAGTGACGCACAAATGAGCAGAGAAACACACTCACCCATATTACTACACACTCACACACAGAGAGGGAGAAGGATTAGCGGCCCCTAGCAAACCAAGGGGAACGTCACTGTTTAAGATTAACTTAGTATTTGATCTGCTCTCCTTCAGTCTTGGGGGAAAACCATCAAACACTTTTCTGAGGCAGGCCACACTGCCTCATTCACTCACGTACACATACAGCACAGTACTTAGATATAAAGCCCATCCTTTGAACACATTGGGAAATATGTATAGTATTAAATCAGATGAGGAGGGATATATCTCACTGCATACTGTATTTACTGTTTCTTCCCTTAGAGGATGCTAAACAGAAAACAGAAGGACCTTTGCTTCTGAAAATAAATCTTACAGGAGGTGATGAGAGAGACAAGGCCAGAGCCAGTCGATGGCATTGACTGACAGACCTTTCAGTGACTCTGCCTGAGGCAGACGTATTGCTCATTGACATTAGAAGGGCCCTACACACTTAAAACACTCATTTGGGAAAGGCCAGTAATTAACATTTGCTGTACAACCTCGTAGCCTCCTCTGCTGTCACTTGTGTTTGCTTACCGTGATTTACACAAACACACACAAAGAAACTTGTGCTATTTAGCTGGAAATGTTTGTTTTCTGTTCTCACTATTTATTGGGTGGTTAATAGTTCAAAAAGAGTAATAATTAAATCTGTTAGCATAAAAAGGAAAACTCTATTTACTTTGATTGTATTTGAGTTGAACACAGACAGATATATCTCAACATAGATAAAGGAAAAACAAACTATCTGCCTGGCTAGATACCTCTAGATGTATGGGAGAAAATATGTGTTTTTCTGTAATTTGGGTGAACTGACCCTTAACGACTAGACGGCCCAATGGTGAGAGAGACCATCCAGCACTGTGTCAGCGACAATCCTCCCTGATGCGTTATGGAGTAGGCTGCTGCTCTGTAGTCTGCTCTCTCATCTCCCTGCAGGAGCCCGAGCTGGAGGAGAATTTCAAATAAGGCATAACAATATTATCGTTGCATAATGACATGCCGCTGTGTGTGAATTAGTTCCATCGCTGTGATTTCCACATTTCCACCCTTCAGGTGTCCCGGAGAAGCCAGAGATCGACGGCCTGACGAAGCCCGCCTTGGAGGGAGACCAAATCACTCTGACCTGCATGACCCAGGGCAGCAAGCCTGCCGCCGACCTGCGCTGGTTCAGGAATGAAAAGGAGGTCAAAGGTAAGCAACATCTGAATCTGAATGTTCTTCTGCATCACTGCAATGGGTTCACAAATACAGTGAGTGTAATATTATACAGACCGTATGTGCAGGGTTTCACCTTTGGTATTTTAAATCGCAACAGACCGAATACTTGGCCTGTGGCAATGCAGTTTGCAGCATCGCTATAACCAACTTGACACTGGACACTGCACTTCCTTGGGTCCTGAGCATTACACCTGCCATGACTTAGTTGCGTCACATATCAGTAACACAAAGTCAGAACCACAGCTGAAATCTAATTTGTTTCAAAAATAAAGAAGACCAGTAACGGAATTTACCTTTAAGCATAGTAGGCAACTTTCTGTTGCTTGTCACCGTGCAGATTCAGATTTGACAACAAAAAAAACTTTTTAAAATGAAATATGATGAGTTAATGTTCTCCCAAATCTCAGTTTATTAGGGTCAGAAACGACGGTAAAATATAGATAGAGGAGGTGATTTCCCAGTAGGATGTTAGTCACTACGTAGCTTTGCATTACCACAACAGTTGTAAATTAGAGAATGTTTTTAAATAGCATTAATTAAGTATTTATCTGGCTGTAACGTTGTTAGTGTTATCAGTTAGCTTCAAATTACACACATTACTCATGATTTTCTACAAATCATTTTTTAGAAAAAAATATTGGACATTAGTTTTTTCTCAATGGTATCATTTAGTTTTTTACTCTAGTGTTAAAAATATACCATTAATCATTCTGTGCTTTTAGTGATCTCTACAGTAATAACTATTAACAGATGTATTGTCCAATCCCACCCAATGGTTGCTATTTAACTACGCCTACAACTTAATGTTGTATATGGAGAGACATCCCTATATCCACTGTGTTGAAGAAATATCGACAAACGCAGACGACATGGCTCAGACAGTGCTTTTTGATAAACAAACCGATAAATAAATAAATGTGCCTGAAAATGTGCATTTGGGTTTTAGAATACTTTGATGGTAATGGTTGTCGAAGTCTCTCCAGAGTATTTTAGTTCTGAACAAGTTGTTACTAATAGAGCAGATTCAGCATGTGTCCTCTGGCCTGAGACCGATACATGAACCTCGCTTGTTATCAGAGAGATGTTCTAAATCACACTGACTGGACTACACACCTCATTTCCACCCTGCCCCCGCTCTGTTCTACTTGATGAACCATCCGCTTTGTAATTGTTTGAACGGGAGAGAGCGAGAGCAAATGAGACAGAATATTGAAGAAAAGAGAGCTGGGGACATGAAATGAGTTTTTTGAGGACGAGAAAAACAGAGGCGGTTTTGTATCAAATTAAATGCAGAACCCAGTGGGGCAGACTGTCACAGATCATCAGCACAGTTGCAGAACTTTTTAACAAAGGTCTTTATGCTGTTTAACAAAGATTAAAGGCAGATGTTCCCACATCTAGAAAAAACAACTATTTGTATGGATTTTCTCGCAGCCCTCTATTGCAGCAGCTAAACTACAGCCTGTGGCGTAAAGTTTGGCACGGTATGATAACTGTAATAATGATATGATTACTATTTTTTGATAATTTTAACGCTTTTAAAATGTGTGTATGTGGAGGTATTTTACTCAGCTCACTGCATCTGTTTAAATGACTCAAATCAAACAAAGTACTTTATTGGTATTGGTATCACTATAAGGGTACAGGGGCGGCTGTGGCTCAGTAGATAGAGTGCTGGTCTTCGAATCAGGGGGTAGCAAGTTCGAGTCCCACTGCAGTCAGCATGTCGTTGTGTCCCGGGCAAGACACTTCACCCCAAATTGCTCCTGTGGGGATTGTCTACAGTACTGAATGTATGTGAGTCGCTTTGGATAAAAGCGTCTAACAAATGACATGAAATGTAATGTAATGGTATCGTAGTTTTTAAATAATACCCAGCCCTTAGTGTAACCCAACAGATCACTGAAACTCATAGTGAGAACAATTAAATCTGGGTTGTGAAACACAAAGACACTTCTTAGATAAATGTATAATTATGTTGTTTTAATATATTTGTATTTACTCTATTTTAATTAATTTTTAAAATACAAGATTACAATTAATTAAAAATGTTTTCTTCCAAACACCGTAAGGGCAACATGTTCAATTAAAAAAGTATTTCTATCATTATTCTCTTATCACTATTTATTGTATGACTTGATTCCCTTTATAATAGTTATAACACTGTACGTTCTATAGAAATTATGTATTATGCCTTTCATTAATGCTTAATGCTTCAGATAGTAGTGTTTTTCTCACAATTTCGTAATCCCAAACCACCATGTTGTTGTATTATAGCTGTTTGTCACTCCACTTTATATTCCCTCTTGTTGCTCTACTGAGGAAAATGAAGCTTATAGAATATACACTAATTAGCAGAGTTACTATTGTTCCTTTCAGGCTTATTGTGTCTCTACGGGTGATTATTATTTCTCCCGGTGGCCCACTACTGAGAGAGAGAGAGCTGTAAGGCAAATGGGAACGTAGCGAGGGCATAATGTCTCCTAATTTACCACGGAAAGTTAACAGGTAGTAAGAGATATCCTTGGTGGTTTGAAGAGAAGGAAGTCTCGAGAGGATCCGCCTTCTCATTAAGGTCAGATGCTATAATTCTCTCCTCAACGCGGCACACTAGACTATTCCCTCTACAATTTCATATCAGAATATTATTCACTGTGACAAGGTTGTAGTTCTTTGTTCGTAAAGGACGTTAATAGGGGCGACTGTGGCTGTGAGGTAGGGTGTTAGTGGGTGGTTTGATTCCAGCCCCCACAGGACACATGTCGTCTGTCTTTGGGCAAGATACTTCGCCCCAAATTGCTCCTGATGCCAGTGTTGCACCTTGTTAACAACCTCTGCCTGTGAATGGGTCCATCTTCATTTAATTGTTATACCGTATATATACATGCATACATACATTATCGTTTGTAACATCTTTGTTATTTTATACGCACGACTACTTTTCACATCTGTCTTTCCTGGGAGAGCAAGGCAAGGCAAAGAAAGGCAAGTTTATATATAGCACTTTTCAACACAAGGCAATTCAAAGTGCTTTGCAAAAATGAAAGACATTAAGAGCATAAAACACATTAGAAATGTTAAAAAGCAAAGATAAGAAAACATGAATAACACAGGTACATGAATAAAGGTTACAGTGCAGTGTAAGATGTGAATACTTCAATTAAAAGCAGCAGCAAAAATAAAATAAAAGTCTTCAGCCTGGATTTAGAAGTAGTAAGAGTTGCAGCGGACCTGCAGGTTTCTGGTAGTTTGTTCCAGATATTTGGCAGTATCCCTAACCACATTCTCACATTCCTCTACCCCTAGTCTTCCCGTGAAATTATAGTTCTTTTGACACTTTTCTAACCTAAAAAAAAAGCGATCCCTCGTCTGTTGCCTTGTGTATTTGTGATATATAAATACAATTTGGTTAATTGAGTGATGGATGGGTGAATGCTGACTTGAGCTTTGAGGGGTCCCAACCACTGAAAAATCACTATATAAATGCAGTCCACTTTTATTCATAGTGTGTTCACCCTTCTTTGTAAATGTATAATGTTTTCTATAGTCCTTAAAACGTCTAAAATGCTCAAAATAAAACTGTAGGAGGCCGTTCTTATATGTATATAAATATATATATATGAGGAAGAGAACATCAGCAATGTGTTGTCCTTTTTCTCTTTGTTCAGAGGTCTTGGGAACATTGTCCAAAAACAGAAAGCAGAACCATGAGACTTTATACAAATGTCAGATTAGCAGATTCTTGTCAGATCTGCATTTGGTCTCATCAGGGGTTTCGATCGGACGTGACGTTCCTCCCCTCGTTGAATTCACTGAAAGCTCCCTCCTTGTCTGCCATTACACCCTCTCTTCCCCGGCTTAAGCCCAGACAGCTCTGCCTGCTATCTGGCATTAGGGCTTCCCAGGGTCCAGATAAGCAAGCCGATAAGCCCAAATCAATGGTGCTTTTGCACACACTTTTAAGCAGTTATCATGGTATCTTTCCATTTAATTAACTGTAGTTGGGAGATGATATTGGATCTGTGTCAACACATTTATCAGCCTCCCTTTAAAGCATCCCCTGCGCTATTACAAGCTGTGTTGATCTCACATACAAATCTGATTTTCAAACTCTAAAATTGAATACAAACTTAGAAAAGTATGTTTTTAAGGTGAAGAACCCTATCTTTCAAGACAAATAGGTGTCTGTTTCTAAATAGCGGTTTGTCTCCCAGCGCAATACATTTGTCTGGATAGAATATTCAGAATGTGTTTTGTTCAAGAAAAAGTCAGTTAACAAGATTTTGATTGACACGGTAACACATTTAGTTCTCCAATGTCACAAAATAAATGCATCTGCGCCACTTATTGAATCACTTTCTTGTATTAATAAAAAAAGAGAGCCGTTTTGACTTTCTTTCCACATTTAAAATCTCCAAAATATATACATGGAAAAAAAGCAAACATAAAGGGCAAAGCAATAAACAATGCATGTATGCACGTGTCGGTGTATGTGACTGCTCTTGAAGTGTTCATCATCCTGACAGCATCAGGGTGTGTTCAATGCAAAAAGCCATCTCATTGTGGGCGACCATGCTGGGAATAAATGACAATTGTGACATATTGGTGTGGGATCTGGGGGAATAGAAAAGATTATATTACAGGCAGAGCCACTGGAGCAGTCCATCACCCATTCGAATGCAGTTAACGGACAGCGTATGCTAAGTGTGTGTGTGTGTGTGTGTGTGTGTGTGTGTGTGTGTGTGTGTGTGGTGTGTGTGTGTGTGTGTGTGTGTGTGTGTGTGTGTGTGTGTGTGTGTGTGTGTGTGTGTGTGTGTGTGTGTGTGTGTGTGTGTGTGTGTGTGTGTGTGTGTGTGTGTGTGTGTGTGTGTGTGTGTGTGTGACAGATGGAGCAGACAGCCTGCATGTAAGGACATAAGCTTGTGTGTGTGGAACGGAATCCAATATTCTTATTTCTCAGTCTCTTTGTCCCT